TTTCAATCTATTTCATGAAATTTTTTTCCATAGTTCTTCTAGAACTTAAATAATATTTACCTTCCATTTGAAAAATTATTTTTGGAGTTTTGATGATTTSTTTTATTTCTCTATATTTATTAATAACAATATCTTCTGAACTTTGTAAATGTTTTGTATTTTTATTTATAAGCAGAACTTAATTAATATTAATAGAACTTTTTGGGGATTTAAGGTATTTTTTCAGCAATGAATAACGATGATTAAATACAATATTTTTTTAAGAGAATCTATTACCTAAAGGGTGGTTATATTACAGTCACTGAACTCTATTTTTTTAAATTTAATTGTAATAAGAACGTTTTCTCCAAAAATTATGCATTCAATAAATCATTAAAAATATATAACAATACATTTTTAGATTTTTCTTTTTTTTTTAAAAGGAACGTTATATCCATTTTATGAATCTGTGATGTCAACTATAATTTGTTTGTTTAGATAATAATTTTTATATTCAATATTATTACTTATTCACTTATTAATGGCGAGCATAGATTAAAATATAATTAGGTACATCGAAATTACCAAAAACATAAATGAAGTATAAAATACGATAATTATTTATCATAAATTATTGAGATATTAAAATATTGTTTTAAATTTCATGAAGATTAAAATAAGTTAAACACATATAGTATAAAATAATTGCATAACTTAAAACAGTTAAAATACAGATTTAAAAAATTTTGTGACAATTATTACTTAACATTTATTCGAATATGTAAGGTTAGGTTAGGTATTATACGATGATGAGAATATAAAATGTATGCATTATTTTATTATGATTAATTATTGGTCTTGTAATATCAATGCACTAACATAGATCAAGAAGACTAAATCTGAGTACATCTTTAAACTCCAAAAAATGGCAATCAACAACGCGAGGACAATGTACCAGACTATGTATAATGACTATTACAACAGCCGTTTGAGCAAAAACTTTAAAACGACATATTACGATTATTTCCCGGCAAAAGAGGACGATTGCTTTTTCGAGTATGTCGCCGATAGAAAGAACACCAAATAAAAATGCAAGCTAAAAAACGTAACGTAGCCTAGTTAACATGATACGTAAATATGYATATCTCGGGAAACWATTGATTTGCGAAATGACTTCACATTATTTGTTGAATTTGTTTCATATAAAAAATGAATAAAATTTTTTTTAAATGAATAAAAATGTTTTTAAAAAAATGAACAATTATTGTTATTACCTATATAAGTAGATGCTTAAGATGCTTATTATAGAAATTTAAAAATTCTCGATTTCGTCTAATTAAATTAAAATACTTACCAATCTAAAAATAAATGGAATCGAGGGAGATTGAGGAAAATGAAGGTATTTCGTGGGTGTATGGATAATTAGCTAAAGGAATATACCTATATTGTAGATACGAACTCGGATAAATAGTGGTCACCGCTTCACAATTCATCATTAATATTTTGACGTAAGGCCACTTTGCTGTAAAAAAATATCCTATAGGATGCATKTACATGACATTAATACGTGTAGAATTCTGGTGCCCAGCAACCATTTGTCACAATGGAAATGTCTAAATAAAATATCAAAATGAATACAAGTTTTATCACCACTCTTAAAAATAGGTTTTACAATAGCAAATTTCTATGTTATAATATAAGTATAAAAATTATAGATGAATATCATTATTATTATTCGCTTTTTCTAATTCAGCATCTTTTTAGTATGAAAGTGAATCTAGATGGTACTTTTTTCAATTAGCTTTTTGTAGTATAGACGCCGTGCATTTGACTGAACACAGCGCAGTGTAGTGGACAATKACCGAACTARTCAGGGGATACACAACATTATTATAATGCAGCAATAAGTTCAAATCTTACCTACCAAAATAGAACAATWACACATGTAGTCATGTTTCATATTATTCCCGTGTTCTGTCTATATGGGTTGATGATCAATGATATTATTTATTATCACAAATTAATTATCTTGCTTATGTGTATTATAACATGTTAAAATATATATTTTTGTATTATTTAAATATTTATTTTCTCATGTATTATAGTATAAAAACTATAAAACTAATGAATGTGGTGCTGATATTATACTTAAATGTGGYTTTCAATCAGTAAATTGTAAAACAATATTTTCAAATAATAAAGGTGAACATTTAGCTAAAAGTGGTCATATTATAAATGTAACAGAAGTCATCGCTTCACATAATGGTTACTCAGTGATAACAGCAAATGCAATTAGACAGACTTCTGTATCAATGCAACGATGGAAAGTCAAACTAGAAGTATGTTTGATTATAAGTTAACTATTATTGTATTACTAAAGTGTACTAGGTAATTATTTRTTCCAAACTTTAATTATTATTTTGAATTTGTTTAGTTGGATAACTTCAGGACTGTGAAGACATGTCTATGTCTATGCCCAGCTGGTATAGGTGAAAAATGTAAGCATATAGCTGCTCTTGTATATTATATAAATAATGAAGAAGCTTCGTCAAAGACAGATTTGCCTCAACAATGGGGTAAACCTTCTAAAGCTGGCGAAAATAAGTACAAGAAAGGCAAAAAAAATATCAGATCTATTTCCCAGTAAAAAAAATATACAATTTCAAGAACTACTTATTAGCCACAGTACTTTTGTAGATCAATATGAAATATTGGCTATTCCTTGTSGTATAAGTAAACTAATTAAAATAGAAATTAGTTCTGAAGCAGATAGAGAATGTTAAAAATGTTTGGAATATATTGTAACAAAGCTTGAACTTGAGGAAACTGAAACTGAAAATAACGTTATTGTGAATAATATCTTTCAAAATCAGTWGCAAAAATAAACAATATTTTTAATATTTGTTTTCCATTAAATAAAAATGAACATACATATTTTTTTAGCAAAGTGAAAGTAACAAATGATGACATGAAAAAAATTTTTATGCTACTATAGATCAGTCAGAGTGTTGATTGGATGAAAGAAAGATTAATACGAATTTCTGCAACCAAGGCTCACAAAATAAAAACTTGTAAATATATTTCTGATGAAAATCTTGTCAAACTTGCCAATACAATGTCTATTGATACAAACTTAATTGGTAGAGCGGCGATAAATACGACTTATGGACTATGTACTGAAGGTGTTGCGATTGAAGCATATAATAAAATATTTAAAGTAAAAACTGTAAGAGCTGGACTAACTATACACTCTAAGTATCCATGGTTATGTGCATCACCAGATGCATTAATTTTGTCACAGAATGGGAATATAAATAAAGTTMTTGAAATTAAATGCCCTATTTCTTGTAGAAATAAATTCATTTTTGATGAAGATARTAAAAATTGTAATTTAAATTATCTAAAATATGAAAATGATGAGATAGTACTGAAATCATCTCATCAGTACTACACTCAATGCCAGATTCTAATGTTTGTTACAGGCCTTGATAAGTGTAACTTATTTATTTATAATTCTATCAAACCATTACTAATGTATTTATAAAAAGATGATCTTTTTTTGGAAAAGGTAATTTTAAAATTAGAGTATTTTTATTTCAACTATTTCTTACCAAATATCATTCTAAGTTCAAACAAATAATTTTAAGACTTTCATTTATATTCTATAATATTTATTTTGTAATCATAATGTAACAGTACTATATTATAATGTTTAAATATTAATTATATTTAAGTATAATATAAAATAAAACATATTTTAAGAAAATTAGTTTTATATAAGTGGAKGTTGTAAATTTGTTAACACACAACAAATATGTACAATGTTGTCAATGTAAGGTAAAAGTCAATTGGTATTTTTTTTTAAATACTGTATGTTGTCAATCTTGCAAAAAACCTTTCTAAATGTATTTGTATGCTGGCAATACTATATGTTTCAAGAACTTCCTGTTCAGTTAATCTACCATTGTGTAAAATGGGTGKYATCACTAAGTTAGTATTATTATTTTCACAATTAGTTTTTATACCAGGAAACCCTTTATCTGCCAAAATTTGATCACCTGGTTCTAATTTTGACAAAAATCCTGTTACGGAATAAACTAACAACTWAAAAGGWCTTTCTCAAGACCAACAAAGACAATTGGACAAAACCATACGTTCTGACAGGTAAAAACGACACCTAGTGAAGGGAAACGGTAAAGCAACGGTGTAGTTTTTATCTGGCGGAACAAATAAACGCTGACCAATGAGCAACGGATTAGATTGTCGAAAAAGGTATAAATATCGGACGCTTTCGACAATCTAGTCAGTCAGTTAGTAGTCAGTCAGTAGTCAACATCAGTAGCAGTAGTCAGTCAGTACAGTCAACGTTCAGTTCACACCCAGAACAGCCCAAGAAC